TCCTTTTTCCTCAGATTGATGATTTGTTTGATCAGTTGCAAGGAGCAACGGTGTTTTCAAAGATTGATTTAAGGTCCGACTATCATCAATTAAAGGTGAAGGAATCATATATACCCAAGAGAGCTTTCAGAACACGGCATGGACATTATGAGTTTTTGGTTATGCCATTTGGATTAACCAATGCTCCAGCGGCTTTCATGGATTTGATGAACCGTGTGTTTAAGGATTTTCTTGATAAGTTTGTCATTATTTTTATTGTTGACATACTTGAGAATAGTTTTGAACACTTGAGAATAGTTTTGCAAATTTTGAAGGAGAAGTAACTATTTGTAAAATTCAAGAAGTGTGAGTTTTGATTAGAGAAAGTATCTTTTCTTGGTCATACTATTTCAAAGGATGGAATTTCTATGGATCCTAGCAAAGTCAAAGTTGTTAGTGTTTGGCCTAGACCAAACAATGTCTCTGAAGTTCGTAGTTTCTTAGGCTTGGCAGGCTACTATAGACGGTTTATTGAAGGTTTCTCTAAAATTGCTACTCCTCTAACTACTTTGACGAGGAAGAATGTGAAGTTCACTTGGTTTGATGCATGTGAAAAAAAGTTTTCAGGAATTAAAGAAGCACTTGATCTCTGCTCCGGTGTTAGCTCTTCCATCAGGGACTGATGGTTTTGCTATCTATAGCGATGCTTCAAAGAATGGTTTGGGTTGCATGCTTATGTAAAATGGGAAGGTGATAGCCTTATGCTTCATATCAGTTGAAAAGCTATGAGAAGAATTACCCTACTAACGATTTAGAGCTAGATGTTGTTGTCTATGCTCTCAAGATTTGGCGTCACTATCTTTATGGTTAGCACTGTGAGATATATTCTAACTACAAGAGTTTGAAGTATTTATTCACACAGAAGGAATTGAATATGAGACAGCGAAGATGGTTAGAATTGGTTAAGGATTATGATTGTGTTATTAATTATCATCCTGGCAAGGCTAATATGGTGGTAGATGCTCTTAGTTGGAAGTCAGCTGTTGTTGGTTCAGAATAACAATCTTCATTTGCAGACATAAGTATAACAGAAATTAAAGTGGTTTCTCAAGAAATAAAGTCTAAGCTTTCATCTTTAGTGTTGCAGCCAAGTATCATCGATAAAATTAAGCAAAGTTAAGATTCCGATCCATATTTGGTTCGTATGAAAAAATAAGGTTCAAGCTGGCAAAAAGAATTACTTTCAAGTATCTGATAAGGGTGTGATCTTTTGTGGTAATAGGCTGTGTGCGCCCAAAATTAAAGAATTGAAGAAGGAGATTTTAGATGAGGCTCATTCATTTCCTTACTCAGTTCATCCAGGGAGCACAAAAATGTATAAAGATTTGAGACTCCATTTTTGGTGGCCAAAGATGAAGTACGAAGTAGCAAAGTATGTTTAGAAATGTCTCACATGTTAGCAAGTCAAGATAGAACATCAGAGACCTTCAGGGAAGTTGAAACCACCTTTTATCCCATAATGGAAATATGAGCATGTTACCATGAATTTTGTCATAGGATTGCCAAGGACACAGAAGAAGTTTAATGCTATTTGGGTTACTGTAGATCGACTTACAAAGTCTTCTCACTTTCTTCCAATACGGAATACTTTCAGTATGGATTAGTATGCACAGCTTTATATCGAAGAGATTATCAGGCTTCATGGTTCACCTGTGTCCATTATTTCTGATCGTGACCTAAAATTCACTTCAACATTTTAGAAAACTTTGCATTCAGCTATAGGAACGCGCTTGTCTTTCAGCACGGCTTATCATCCTCAAACCGACGGGCAATCAGAAAGAACTATCCAGACTCTAGAGGACATGCTTAGAGCTTCTGTTCTTGATTTTTCAACTTCATGGGATAGAAAGCTACCTTTAGTTGAGTTCTCCTACAATAGTAGTTATCATTCAACTATTAGTATGGCTCCATAAGAGGCGTTGTATGGTAGAAAGTGCAGATCTCTAATTCATTAGAATGAGGTTGGATAAAATATAGTCTTGAGTCCAAAATTTGTTCAGAAAACAGTTGACGCCATTGACAAGATTTGAAAAAGAATGAAAACAGCTCAAAGTCGACAGAAGAGTTATGCCAATAAGTGTAAAAGGGATCTTGAATTTGAAGTTGGTAACAAGGTCTTTCTTAAAGTTGCTCCAATGAAGGGAGTTATGAGATTTGGACAGAACAGAAAGCTCAATCCTAGGTATATAGGGCATTTTGAGATTTTAAAAAGAGTAGGAAAACTTGCTTATGAGTTAGCTCTTCCATCATCATTGTCTAGTATTCATGGTACATTTCATGTTTCTATGCTCTGCAAGTATATAGCTGATCTATCTCATGTTTTGAAGTATGAAGCTTCGGAGTTAAAACCAAATTTGAGATATGAAGAAAAACTAGTTCAAATTCTTGATAGAAGACTTAAGGAATTAAGAAACAAGAGCATTCCTTTGGTAAAGGTTCTTTGGAGAAATCAATTAGTAGAGGAAGCTACTTGGGAAAAAGAGGATGAGATGAAGATCAAGTATCCAAAACTTTTTGGTTAGCCAAATTTCAAGGATGAAATTTGTTAAGGAGGGGATAATTGTAATACCCGAGATTTAATTAAGCCTTAAGCCAAAAATAAATATATTTAGTAAATTAAAATCATGCATCATATTTGCCATTTATCTCAAAGTTATTTGTTGACATTATATTTTATTATTATAGCTATCATATGATTTTATTAAACTTATAGCTTTGCTAATCAAGTTTTCAATTTTAATGTGCAGTGCAACTAACTCGATGTGGAAACTCAATGTGCTAAACTTATGAAGAAAAAAATGATAATTATTATCATTATTTGATATGATATTTTACCTCTATTATGATTGATTTAATGATGAACAATTATTTTATATTTTTATTATATAATTTTATATAAATGTGTTGAGGACATAGTTGCTAGTTTGAGCTTCTGTGAGAGAAGTCTATGTCAGCAAATTGAGTGAATTTTAGGCACCTAATTGAAGAAGACAAATAGAGACTTTAGAGCTGATTTTATGAGGTTAGGACAGCTATTAGAGGCTTAGAAAAACTTAGACACTTGTCCTACTATATGGTCACTTTATTGTTGCTTGGTTTCTATCATGTTTGGACTTCATTTTTTGGTCTATTTAAGCAAAAAACCATAGAACTCCGATCATAACATTTTCTTCTATCTTCTCACTCCTTTTCTCACCCAAAACTCATAATCAAACCTAGGTTTTCATGAGAGAATGAGATAAAAACTCAACCAGCCCATTTCAACTCGTTTTTCAACCAAGAACCAAAAATAACCACCAACGTTTTGAGCTTCTATTCACTTGGGAACAAGTTTTCTTTGAGGTAACTTCTTTCTTTGTAGAAACTAAGATTTCAGAGATTAAGATGTTGAAATCCTACTTGAGATTCAGATTTTTGATGTGGCTTATCATGCATGTTGGTTGTAGACACTTAAAAATGAGTTTCTTGAGGTTTTGGTTTAAATATTAGCTTCTGGGTGAAATTAATGATTTTAGCTTGATATTATTGATGATCATTTGAAGATAAACTCATATTAGGATGGCGATTCATGTATTTGAGAGTGGTCTTTGAATATTAAGATCTGCATGCTAGGTATTTGATGAAATGTTCAAATATAAGTCTTTTGTACAGCTTATGTAGATTTTATTTTCGTGCTATATATATTTATGAGTTTGACTGATCATATTATTTTCTATTAAATTATACATCTCAAGGTTTACGTGAATTTTTTAATAACTCTAAATGGAATTTTCTATATTTAGTTATGAATTTTATAAGTTCAGCTAAAAAGCTGTCATTTTCCTGACTAGATTATACTTCAATCCGGATTTCAGGTTGTTTTTGGTTAGTTTAAAAATCTGAAACCTATCATTTAGTAGCTCTAAAAAGAGGGTTTTGAGTCTACTTTTGTTTGCCACTCGTCTTATAATATTTTGAGTTTTGATGAATTTGTTATGAATATTTTCGTAGCAATGCATAGTTATGTATTTTGTTAAGTGATGATATGAATGTGATTTTTGAAAGCTATGATTTTTAAAGGTTAATTAGCACATTGAAGGCTCCCCACAACCAGCTAGTTTGTGCTTGTAAAGTGGTGATCGAAATTCAAGTAAGTAGAATTAAAGCATTTTCAAAACTGCATCACAAGACCTATTTGACGAAATAACTTGTTCAGAAATGTGATTATGTAAGTTTATTCTCTTATGAAATTCTTATATGATTATGTTCAAAGAGTATTCATGATTGATTAATTTGACAGATATTATGAAATTTGCATATTATGTTTTTATGTTTTAAGAGATTTTATGGTATGGTATATGGATGAGTAGCTGGGTAAGCATGGATGCGAAGGACCGGTGCCCCAAATTAGAGTAACTGTCTCTTTGAGACAACTAGAGAAAAATGCTAGTGGGAAGTCTCTTTTTGATCATAAGAGAAAGAGATTCTAAAAACCCCGCTTAGTGTTTAAGAGAAGAGAATTGGCCAAAATTAGAGAAGGTCCTATATCATAAGAGAAAAAGAGGCTTACTTAGAACCGAAGTTCTGTATCATACCTAAATTAAGAATAAATATGAAAGTTTATGAACAATGTTTAACAAAGAGATTTCAGCCACAGAGATTTTAGATACTTTATTTGAAATCTACTTACTGAGTTTTTGCTTATTAGTTTTACCTTGTGATGCAGATGATGTTGTTACCGATGAGTAAAAAAATGATTTTCAAGGTTGACTGAGTACTCCAAGTCTTACATTTGGCAACTTGCTTACATGTACTTCCAAACAATAGATGAGCCCAAAATGTCTAATGCTTAAGATTTGTGGTTGTAATCATTTTGTGTATTGACTCATTTTGTTCAAAAACTTTTACAAAAATTTTGTGATAAAATCAACTACAAGTTTCCACATCTTAAAAATGACATTGTTTTAAGTATAGAAATATGTTTTAAGTAGCAACACCTCACTAAATTCGGCCTTAAACCAGTTTAATGTTGGGGCATTACAAGTATCTTTTCATCTCCTTCCAAGCGAAATCCCAAAAGACTCACAAGATTTATGTGTTGAAGCTTGGCTACCAATACAACCTCATTCTTAAATTCGGTTGCACCTTGTCCAGAGCTTTTGGATAACCTCTTGACAGCTATTTCTCGTCCGTCTTGAAGCTTTCCCTGATCAAAATATATAGCTTATAAAATCACTTCATTTCTCTTTAGGCTTGACATACACTTGCATGTAAAAGGGAACGACATTTGCCCATGTACGTACCTTGTATACTTTACCAAATCCACCTTCTCCTAACACGTTATCATCAGAAAACTTGCTTGTGGCGGTTTCCATAGTTTTAAAATCGAACTGCAAGGACTCTACCGTTATATCATTCGCAGCTGCAACTCAAACACAAATAATAAAAAAAAAAAATTATTGCTAAAAAATCACGAACCTGTAGAACGTATAATTAGAATGATAAAATAACCACGTATGATTCCATATATAACAAACTAGATTAAGAAGTTCTCTTCACCATTGTCTTGCTCAATGTGAGCATTGTGCTTCTTTCTGGCTCTTATGCGAAAGTAGTAACCTGTGGCAACTAGCAATGCAGTGACAAGAACGGGACTACACTGGCAACAATAATGATCACCGACGATACTCTTTTCTTTCCTGCTTACAGTTTAGCTAGAATTAACATATAACATGACATCGTTCTCGTAAAGAGCAAGATAAAAATCTCTCTCAGATAAACAAATGCATAAAAGAAAGAAACGAAAGCACATGACAAGATGATGGGCAACTAGATCAAAATGTACATCCAAACGTCAATTCAAACTACAATTTAAACCATACAATTTGAATTTTTTGGTTCAAATAAAAAAGTTCAAATCAACAAATTTGATTCGAACCAACGAACCAAATGAGAGCTTAGATTTTAGCTCATTAAATTCAACCGTTCAAACCATTTTTAAATAGTAAAAAGACGCTAACTCACTGCTTTTTACCCCAACTAATACAAATTTCAATTTTATTCACGTTCAGATTAAAATTCTAATTGCACATTTAAACGCTAATTCAAACTTCAATTTAAACGACACAATTCAAATTTTTCTATTCAAATAAAAAATTCAAATAAAGAAAATTTGAATTAGTGAACCAAATGGAGGCACAGTTGTGTGAATTATGTAAGGGGAGAATATAGTAAATAGCATATTTTAAAATTATTTGAAATATATAACAGTTTATATGGTAAATGAATCATTCATCATGTAAATGGTTTATTTACCCATTTACGGCTAATCTTTACCACATAAATTATTTTTTTATATGTCGTAAATAAATCATTTACACGGTAAATGATTCTTTTTTCGGCAACAATTATTTATTGTATATTATATAGTTTTTTAAAATAAAATAAAAAAAACCTATTTTTCCTTTTTAAAAGAAATGGAAAGAAATTACCGGAACGCGTAATGGAACTGGGTTGTGGCGGCGAAGCTGGAGGGGACGCCGCTGGGGGTGGCGACGATGTATTTTGGCTGTAAAAAGGGTAGACCTCGTACCTAATATTACAACTGGGAAACAGAACTCTTCCCCCTAACCTCCCATCGCAGCAATTGGGAAGACTTCCTATGGCTTCCGTTAGACATGTACCACAGTCCTCACCAGACAGGTCCGGCGTGCACTGCGCGAGGTTGTACAGCGTCTGGAACCCATTGACGTTTTCATCTCTGGTTGCGAACTTCTTTTCCCGCCTCTTGCTGCCTCCACAGCCGCCTCCTTCATGGTGTTGTTCAGCAGCAGGGTGAACCGGTCTTTATCAGTGACGTTCGCCGCGTTCAAAAGATAAACGTAGGGCCTTGTAGCCACGGTGCCCAAGAAGGAGGGGTGGTTGGAATACTGCAGCTGGCACTGGTCGTACCATATCATGGCCTTTCCGTTGACCCCCGGGCAGAGCTCCTCGAGTTCCTTGACGGTGACCCTTATGCAGTCGTGGCAGTCGGTGACGTTGAGGTCTCCACGGCAGAAAAATTTCCCGTAAAGGGCGGCGGAGTGGTCTCCGGCGGCGATGGTTGTAGTTTTCTGGAATTCGTCGGACGCGAAGGCTGAGAGCGAAGCGAAAAGGGTGTTGCGATTGGATAGATAGACGCTGTTTGAGGTGACATTGGTCGTGTTTTCGCAAAAATGTTATGTATACACAGGCTCGTAAGTAATGGCTCCAACGTTAATTAGCCCGATTGATGTAATAAGCAAAGATGGAGTTAACAGAATCGTAGGGGAGGGAGTGTTGATGGAAAACATTTTTCTTTTAAGATTATGGCGTAGGAGCCAAGTAGAAACCAGTTTTCCGACTAAATCGGACGGAGAAAGGACGAACGTCCAAGTTTCCCTGAGTGGGTCACAACCAATACCAAAGAAGCTGAGGAAACTCTCAGAGCAAATTGTATTGATAATCAGGATAATGGTTCTCATCTGAACGACAAAACCTGCCTTATTAAGCTACAAAACAAACGACAAGACTGATAGCAAATAGCAAGGCCAAATGACAGCTAACATAAGCGAATAAAATAAAAGATAGAATAAACAACAAGTAGTATAAGTAAATCTAATAAAGGAAGCGACGATGAGCTGCTGCATCAGATTAGTTGTGAGAAGTTCGGGATTATGATATTCTTGACCCCATAATAAAAGAGAATCCCCCAGGCAGCTGGCGCAGATAGATGACGGTCAATGTAGATCAAGTGCCTGCTGTGAAGTTTCTTGGTCCAGTTATCCAAAAGAAACACTTGCAATGGAATTTTCTGCATAGGACGAAAAGCAGGGCAAGGATGGGACAGTCGGTTAGAAGTGCAAACCTAATTAAAATTCTTGAAATTTATTCACAACGTTATAAATGATGACAGATATGAGAAAAGAAAGTAAATATGGGCCGGGTCCAGCGTTGGCCATGACCTATGGTGGTGACTTTGGCAATTAGAACTGTGGGTTGCACATTGTGTACTCTATTAACAGGTCCTTTTTGTTTTTTGTTTTATTTATTGTAGAAGCCTCTGTTAACAGGTCTTCCAATCATCCATTAGGCGACTCCAATATAATCGGAGAAATATGCTGTGTATTTTGGAGGTAACTTAACAATCTCCCACAACTAGAGGTTTTATCGAATATTTATGATCCATAAATATCTTGTGTAAAAAGTTATGATAAAATTTTGGGAAAATTTTGATAAACATCATGATCAAATATTGGTAAAAATATTGATTTTAGTCAAGTTATAGTGTATGTTCTTTATATAAAAATTTGAGAAATATCATAAAATTAGGAAAAAAAAAATTTGTAAAAATTGGCGGTCAATGTATTTTTTTTATTTATTTTTTCATTTTTTCAGTATACACATTGTATATTAGCATGTCGTGCTATCAATATTACTTGAATCATGATGAAATCTCAGTTTGAGACTTAAAAAACTCTCTTTTGATATTGAGATTTTTATTTAACATGCATATAAAGCTTATACGTTAACATGTTTATTCTTTTTTCAATTTTCATCATGTCCTAAATAATAAGTATAACAAAAGAAATATCAAGTTTTAGAAGAAATATCAATTTTCTTGTTATGGAAAAGGAAAAGTATGGTCGCTCTGTCTTTCGGCACTATATCCACAAATTCCAGCTCTTTTCCTTCCTTCCACAATTGCCATGTCTGTCATGATATTGATCAAAAGGGTATATTACATTCTTAATCTATATATTTGAATTTATAGCTCAATCATAATGTACAATACCAATTCAGTTAATGAAGAACATGCATATCTGATGAGTGTCAAAGAGCTTTCTACAAGGTAAGTGCTATTATTCCTCTTTCCGCTAATGATTTTTGAGTAATATCACGCGGAAACTAAAAACGTCTGATTTTGTGGAGAATATTCCCTCCATTGGAGCCATGTATCCGCTATTTACGTACAACATTATCATAGTTTCTTAACTTTAATAGGAACAATACGTGAATGCAAAAGACAAGTAAAAAAATAAAAATAAAAATTTTAGTATTTAGGAAGAACAACTTTTCTGATCTTTCCTGTATTCTGGTCCTCACAGAAAATTCTTGCCAAACCGATTGCCACCATCTCGTTGTCTAACAACACATTACTTCACTATAAATCCCTATGCACTATCTTTAGTCTGGAGTCTCCGTCAAGATAAAGAAGCCCTCTAGCAATTCCACTGATAATGTTATACCGCGTTTTCTAATCAAGCAGTGAACGTTTTTCTGAATTTGAAATCAATCAAAATTCTGAATTTGAAATCGGTCAGAATTCTGAATTTGAATCTGAACGGTTAATAATTAAAGGTTGTTCTATTCACACACTCTTTTTTATTCTTTACTCCCCCTTTTAATTATAATTTCTTATTAAAAAAGATTTTTATGTAAAATGACAAAAGGATGAGTATAATAGACTTTATTATATAATTAAATTTTATTATAAAAAATAATGATATTTTATTGTTTTTCCCTTCACACACTCCACGTGATATTCTCAAATTATAAACAATTGCTACTTTGAAATCTATGATAAAACTTTACTTTTTTACCGCTCAATAGCTATTCCAAAAAATTATATAGAGGTATATTACATTTTCCTTTTATTTGTTCTATGGCGATTATTCTTTTGCCTTTTTTTCCTTTGTTTTCTATTAATATTTTTTATTTTTCTAATTATTTCATTTCTCAAGGAACAAATCAATTTTTTTTTTATTTTTTTGTCCGTTTCTTAAAAAGTATAATTGATTTTTTTTTCCATTTTGTTCTTTTTTATGCTTATTATGCTCATTTATTTGCTTTTCATTCTTTTTCCATTTTTTGTTTTTAATCATACCTTAATAATATAATAACTTAGTTACCGGATTATTTATTTATTTTTATTTCTTGAATTATATTGCTTTTTATCTTATATTTTTTAGTATCCTTTATATTCTCTAAAAAAATATTTTAATAAATTTTCTTTTGGTACAAAGAAAAAAGGCGTGATGCCTAAAGCTTCAACTAAAAAAAAAGAGAAATATAAAAATGATAATATTAAAATAAAATAGCGGGTATGAAAAGAAAAATGAAATGATCAAGAATAAATAATAATATGAAAATAGTTTGAGGTAATTTTAGAATAATAGGAGTGTGTAGAAAGTAAATTCAACCATTTTAAAATAATGTAAGGTGTGTGTTTAGAAGCGGAATGTAGAAAGTAAAAAAGGGGTATGTTAGTAAAACCATCCAATAACTAATAATGGTTTCATTATGGACTCAATGATTTGGATTTGATCTTATGGAGATATCAAAAGTAGAAATACCTTTTTTTTCAGTATGTATTAGTACTCTAATTACCTTAAAATTACTAGTCTTTAAATATCAAAATGACTTCTTTTTTCCTCCCAATTGCACCTTGACGCAGGTGATGAAAGGCCGAGTCAAAAAGGTAAGTTTGCTAGATTTTTCCCAAGAGTGAAGAGCTAGAGAATAGTAAACAGCTTTGCTTAGGTAAATAGCGGTCAATAAAAGTAATTTGACTAATTTAAAACAGGATGAGGAATTAGGAGTGGTGAAGTCGCTACTCCTTAATGAATGAAGATCACAGAAAAGATTGAGAAACATATGTAGCTGTAGCCTTTCCATAGGATTAATTTATATGATGAGACATTAGTTTTATGATTCTACAATTTCTTGTCTCGCTCATTATCTGGGGAGAAAATCAGAAACTGTAATCTCGTTGACAGAACAACTATTAACAGCTATTATTTCTTGCTGGCTAGTGTATCGACTAGTAATAAAGGCAGGTCGTTCAGGTTGGGAAAGACTCTGAACTTCGCTTTTCAGCATTAGAACCACTGATGACATGGTAGGCCTTAATAATGCATTTTCTTGAACGCACAATAACCCAATTTGGATGTATCTCAAAAATTCATTTGGATGACATGAGTCTCGCAAACAAGGATTCACTAAGTCCAATGCTTTCTCTTCATTCCATAAATGCCATGTCTGTAAGTAAATATATATATAAGGAGATTGATAACTATTTAATTAAAAAACTAATTTGTGACGACCATATTTGTTTAAGCCACTAAATCTTACATATGCTATGAGGTTAAGCGCGCAATCTGTTATGCGAAAGCTAGTGTTCCTCCTCCCACTTAGAATCTCAAGCAAGAGCACTCCAAAGCTAAAAACATCGGACTTTATGGAATATAATCCTTCCATAGCATATTCTGGAGCCATGTAACCACTTTTCTCACAAAATAAAACAAAAGGTGATTAGACGAAGTTTGAGAGTCAAGACTTAGTAATCGTCCCACTTTGTTCTTGTAAGAATCAAATTATTAATAGGAGTTTGGGAGTCAAAACTTACTAAGTTCCAACAATTCTTCCGGTGTTTCCTTCAGTTTGGTCTACTCCAAACAATTTGGCCATGCCAAAGTCTGATACTTTCGGATTCATTTTCTCATCTAACAAGATGTTACTTGCTTTGAGATCACGGTGTATAATTTTTAGCCGAGAATCCTCATGCAAATATAGAACTCCTCGAGCAATTCCTTCAATTATATTGCATCTTATCAACCAATTCAATTGACCTTGTTTTTTTGGGTCTGCACAACAGGCAAAGATTACAGACGTTAGGAGTAAAAAAAAAAGTATTGGTTATTACACGAACAAGTATTCCATTTTCCATTAAAAAGATACATAACTATGATATAAGTGGAAGATAGAACATTAATTGTTTTCTCCTCAATTCATTAAAGTTGTCATGTTTAGATATGCACGAACCAAATAGAAAATAATCAAGGCTTTTGTTGGGCACGTATTCGTAGACAAGTATCCTTTCTTCTCCGTCCAAGCAAAAGCCCAAAAGCCTTACGAGATTTCTGTGTTGAAGCTTGGCTACCAATACAACCTCATTCTTAAACTCCCGTGCGCCTTGCCCGGAGGAGCTCTTGGATAATCTCTTCACAGCTATTTCTCGTCCATTTGGAAGCGTTCCCTGAAAACGTATAAATATAATCATAATCATTTCATATTCCTTTAGGTTTTTCTATATTTGAAAGGGAGCAACATCATATAATATATATTAACAATATGTACATACCTTATAAACTTGACCAAATCCGCCTTTACCGAGCATGTTACAATCAGAAAATTTGTTTGTGGCAGTTTCAATAATCCTAAAATTATACTGCAAGGAGTTCGTCGTTGTGATATCATTTGTAACTGCAGTTCAAGCGTAAAAACGAGATTTAGGGAAGGAGCACACCTATTGATCAGGGTATTAAAATGATGGAAAAGAAAGCATTTGATTTTATAAAAATTAAATTAAAAATTAAAAAAAAAAATTGTCGAGGTTTACCAGTTTCTTGAGTAATTAGAGCATTATATTTCTTTCTTGCTCTCCAGCGCAAGTAGCAGCCCGTGACAAATAGCAAGGCAGTAAAAACGGGAACCACAGTGGCTACAATGACTATTGACGATATTTTTTTCTTTCCTGCATGTAGAAATTTGTAGAATTTATATATGCTTCACAAGCTTAAGGAAAAGACGAAAAAAAAACAAGAGATAGCGAAAATACGTGATAATAATGAAATATTTAGATCATCATACACGTGAAAGGAACTCAGATCCTTTGTCCCCTTCTCTGGGCCAATTTGGTAGTGCTGTAATTATGAAAAAATTACTTTTAACTGTGCTGAAGGAAAAAGTATCTGTTATAAAAAGTAATTAAGTATTTGATAAACTCTAACTATACAAGTGTTGCTGGTTCCAAAAGTAATGTAATAACATTTGGTAAATTGTGAGGTTGAATTGTTATAAGTTGTAATGATAACCGTAATTAATAATATTAAATTAATATATAAAGTAATTAATAATTGATAATTATTTAACAAATAAAAATTAATATATTAATAATATAATAATAATGGATAAATTATAGTACATTAGTAATTAAACTATATATAATAAATTAATATGCAAAATAATTAAAAATTATAATTAATAATTAATTATAAGTAATTTCTATGTTAGTATTGCACTCATATTTATTAGATTATACGTAATTAATTAGTGTATTAAGAAAAATAATTAGTATATACATAAATTATTAATATTGATAATTATTCTTTTTATAGTGATTAATTACTAATTATCAATTATTAATTATTATTGATTAATATTTTACATATTGATAATTATAAGTTAACATTAATTATTAATTGAGTAGTTACTATTTGTTTTCTTTTTTAATAACTATTTACTAATTCATAGATTATAATTAAAATAATATATGATTGATATATAATTATTAATTGTTAATAGTTAATATGTTATATAATTTATTCAATTAATCTTTAACTAAATAAATAATTACTATATTATTTATTATTTTATTAACAAAATTAAAAACTTAATACTAATAAATTAATATTTAATTAATAATTAAGTAATTACTATTTATTTATTAGTTATTAAGTATATCTATTTATTAATTATTAAATAATATATATTATTTTTGAAAATGAAAATGAAAACGTTTTCAATCTCAGACATAAATTATTTTTGAAAATACGTTTGGTAATTTTATCAAGAGATTATTTTCAGTATAAAAAAATCCATTAATGTCTCTCTCTACTTGAGAGAGGAGAAAACATAAACAAAAAATGAAAAATGACTAAAAGTCATTTTTTATTTCTCTCTCATTTTACACTAAACCAAAAAATCGTCTTCATTTTCTCTCATGTTTTCATTTTTTCTTTCTTGAAAAACGTAAAAAATAAAAACAAAAACAACTTCAAACACAGCCAAGAATTCAACAACAAAGTCTGACATAAACGGGGAAACCCCAATAGTAACTTTAATTAAGAAAAGAATTCTCGTAACTACATCTCACTTTGTTAAATCAAAAAATACCCAATATTTATACTAATTAAAGCCTCGTTTGTTTCACTAGTTTAAATTGTGAATGTTTAAACATTTGAGTTTCAACTTATATATAAGTTTTTTATAGTTTCAACTGGCATTTAGTAGTATAAAGTCTAAACAAGTAATAAAGTTTGAATTAATATTTGGTTACATTATTAGAACTATGAGTTTTTATAAATTCGAGTTTTACTACAGTAACAGCTCTCAGATGCAGCTACATCTAACTTTTTTCCTACAGTAAAAATCTTTCACATAAAATCACATCTCAACTCAAATTAAAAACTCAAATTAACAAACTAAACGGGCCCAAAATGTGAGTAAAAATAGTTAGTGAGAACTTTTGAGTTAGGTTGTGAACAGTGTTTTAGGGTTAAAACCCAAAGAATTTTGGAAGAGTAAAGTTCTATAAAACCTTTAATTTTTGAGTTGACATGAACCTAAAGTTCAAAACCAACATGCAACCAAACGCTGGTAATTTAAATTTTCTGAGTTCAAACTTATGAAAACCCTTCAAACAAACGAGCACTTAAGCACTTAGGACATATTTTGTGTTCATATGTACCAAACTAGACAAGAAATGATAAATTAATAGTGATCACAATCAATATAATATATTAACACTATGTTGGTAGTCATAGAATATTCAAGCGTTCTATATGGATGGGACTCTAATCGCTGAACCGACAAAAGGAAACGAAAAGGAAAGTTCATCCCAGCCCCTCTTGTAAACGCGATTAGAAAAGTTATCGCTGAAACGATAAAAGGAAACGAAAAGGAAATTTCATCCCAGCCCCTCTTGTAAACGCGGTTTGAAAAGTCATCTCAAACTCATTTAAACAAAAAAAAAAAAAAAAATTCTTTTGTACGTCTAGTGGTGTATGGATAGGTCAAATTTATTTTTTACTTTTTATGTATTTTATGTAAATTTAATAAATAAAAAATTTAACCTATCAGTATATTAGCGTACCGAAAAAATCTAAAAAAATGACAAAACAAAACAAAACAAAAAAAGTCAATTTAGGACTAATTGTTCAGGATTTTCTATCTCTACGAGATAAACATGGTACCTTATCCAATTTAGGAGGATAAATAGTTATTAAATTACTTAGGATGTGTTAGATTTATACAATTTACACATTTTAAATCATGACTTAACTTATATATGTAAAAGAAAATTTGTAATAATTCATTGTATTAATATAATTTGATTTATGAGTTGAATCATGAAATGAATAAGCCTTAGTAATTTGACGGTAACAACTTATACTAAGTGAATTTGTGGTACCTGGATGAGGTGGAGGAGGAAGTGGTGCAGGAGGAGGAGTCTCCAATGCTGCTGCGTTGAAAAACATGTGTAAATCATACATGATATAACAGCTCGGCAGAAGAAGCCTTACGCTCCGTTGCCCGTTGCAGCACACCCGAATCTCCTCTATGGCTGACCGGAAACACTTACTACAATCGGCTACCGACAAGTCCGGCGTGCACTGTGCCAATCCGTACACAGTCTCGGAGCTAGTGAAGGTCCGTTTGTCCACGGCGAACTTCTTTGTCTGATCATAATGAGGATTCGCCGCGTTAAATGCTAACGTGTTAACCATGCTGTTTATAAACAGCTCGAACTGATCGTTATCCGTAACGGTAGTACTAGTACTAGCATTTCTCAAGCCAGGAAAGGAATTCACTGAGCTTGTATCGGAGACGTTAAAGATGGGCTGGTCGGAGTAGTGCAACAGGCACTCCTCGTGCCAGATTACGGCCTTTTTCTTGTCTGGGCACCGCCTTTGTATCTCTTCGGAAGCGTTGACTACGCAATCTTGACATATGAGTTTGGAGACGTCACCGCGGCAGAGAAATATCCCGAAAACGACATCGGGAAGCTTGCGGCCCGCAGTGGCGTAGTAGAAGTCAGTGAAGACCTTGACGTTAGAAGCGTAGGAGCGAAGAGAGAGGAGGAGGAGGTTAAGATTGGATGCGTAGGTGCTGTAAGGGGCAAAAGATGTGGAATTTTTACAGTTGTGAGAGAGATAAGTTGGTGGTGTTGCACTGGCATGGATGGTGACTAAGCTGATAAGAAGAACAAAGTGCAAGACTGCTGAAGAAAATTTGAGTGAAACCATTTTCATCATCTTCAATTGTTTTTTCGACTCATTAGTCGTTAGACATAGTTAAAGTACTTTAGCTGATTAGAATATAATATTCTGACGGATTCAACCACTTTCGTGGCGTGTGCGGACCTTATTCTGAAGAGTGAAGACCCAATAATAGAGTAATTTCCGAGCACTATGGCACGAGTCAACTACTTTTTATCTTGACCTTATAATGTGTTTATAATTCTTTTAGAGTCATAATTACAAACAGATTCCCAGTATCTTTGTGAAATGCTAGTTTTTCATCTTATAATTTTGGAAATGACAAAAGTTCCCCTTCTTTTACAGATCACATTACAAAGTCCTCTACTCTATTTTATACTTGTTCACTTATAACATTACAAAGATGTTTCAGAATGCCCATGTTACGCTTAACAATTCTTTTAAAATAAAAAATAAAACTACCCCACACCGCGCAGTCTGGGGCAAGACCAACCAGTTGGTAGGTCTCAGACAAGGCCCTTCTAGCCTCACCACTTCAAGGATTGCTGTCACGCACTATAAGAAAACAAGGCTTTAATGTGGCGACCTTCATCTGAACAACATTTGTGTCTAACTCCACGTTTTTGGACTTTTTTTCTCCACAAATGAAAGATTTGAGGAGAGAATGATATTTTTAAGCTATTTTCAGTGTTTTTGGAGGTTTTAGACGGAGAAAATGAGAGATAACGCGAGAGATTCACTGGAATTAATGTTAAAATGACGTCGTTCTTCTTCACCTAATTAATATTTCTGAAAATATTCTTGAGGAATATACGTCCCGGGCTCATTTTTTGCGACGAAGTTTTAAGGAAACTGCCAAAGTTTTCGCCTTTTTTTTTGGGGAAAAATAAATCCCCAGTTATTTGCGACGACAAAAGTCGTCGCCAAAAATAGTCATCCTTGATAGAATTTTCTGGAACCATTTTTTGTGACGACATGTGTCATCGCAAAAACAGTCGTTCAGAAAAGAATTTTCTGGAACCATTTTTTGTGACAACTTTTCAATATGTCGTCACAAAAAATAAAGAAATATCTAGAACCTATTCGCGGGAAACTGCCAAATTTCCCGCCTCTTTTTGGCCACGTCACCGCCAGCTGTAATAATCAATATTTGCGACGATAATAATTGACGACATGATGACATGACGTCACTAATACTGTTATTTTAACAACGATAAATGTCGTCGCTAATAACCTTTTTGTTGTAGTGAAGCCTAGTTTTGCCACAGCAATACATTTCTTATTTACATTAATCAATCACAATGCACATGTCAAATATGAGATTAAAAAATTACTATGTACGTAGCAAAGCCACAATTTCGCACGAAGTTTAACATTTTTACTAAGTTCTTTGCAAACAAGCTCATGCAATCGTATGTGTGGTGGTGGCCATATGCAGATTGTTGAGTAAAAATATTTATTAATGTCGAAATAATACATTACACACAACATAATTTCACATATACTAGGATTTAATTAGCATAGGAGTTTATTATTTTTAGTTCGACCTATTCAAGATTATAAGAATAACCTCTTAATTATAATCCCATGGTACAAGAGAAAACCTTTTGATTCCAATTAAAACAGTAAATACTATTTTTTGTGAATTTGGGTTGATTTAAAATTGCGGCTAAACTCAGTGAATTTAGCCAGCAAAGCAACTCTGAAGATCTTGAAAACTTCCTCCAAAATTCTTATTCTGAAAATTCTGGTTTTACTGAGTTGGCTCACTTGTCTGTAATTTTCAACAATTCACAGGACAGAGGAACCAAGTTTGGGCCACCATGTTTTGAGGAGCTCCCAACAGAAGGAGAAAAATCGAAATCATCCAATGAGGAGGCTCCAAAAGTTAAACTAGCCCAACTACCTGAGGCCTTAAAACATGCGTTCTTGGGAGATGAAGGCACATTCCCAATCATCATCTCATCTAAACTCAATGCATTGCAAGAACAACGATTGATTGACATGCTGAAAAAGTGCAATTCCATGATCAAGGTAAAAATGAAAGCGGCTCATGATAAGCAAATCCTGAGGAAAAACTTCGAGCCGAATCAGCGGGTTCATCTCTATGATTCCCATTTGCATCTCCACCCTGGTAAGTTGAGGTCATGGTGGACTGGCCCGTTCGTAGTGAAATGCATTTTTCCCAATGGTGCTATCGAGGTTAAGGACCCGACCGATGGGAGAATCTTCAAAGTAAATGGCCAGCGTCTGAAGAATTACTTAGAGCAGGTGAACTAGGTTGAAGAGATCATTCTCGACAACCCCGTTTACCAGCCTTAAGTAGTTTGCTCACATCTCATGTACTATATTTTTATTTTCTGTTTTCTTTGCTTTTTTTTTACATTTTTTTTTCTTTTTGTGTGTGTTTTTGGAGAATCATATCAGGAAGCTTAGGCTATGCTCCCATGTGGAATGCTCATCATCCAGGTGTCTTCTTTCTCTATATTTCTATAATTTTTGACACTGAGGACACTGTCTAATTTTAGTTAGGGGTGGTGAGCATATTCATGTGTAAAAGTAATTTTTGATATGTTGATATTTGGGTTAAAATTTTTGTGAAGTTATCTAAGTATGATTTCAAAATATTTGGTTTGAGTCGATTTTCACTGTCTTGGTTACTAAGAAATGACTCCTAGAGTTTCTTTTTACACGTGCTAAACCTTGTGGTAAGATGGACGTTAATGCATGTCAGCTGAAAAAATTCCCGAGTTTAAGTGCTTGATTTTTGATGAGTTAATAGAGTTGAGAAAACGACTTTTGAACCTTCATTGATCTTTTGAGCTGGTAAAATCACTGTTAGAACATCATTACATGGTTAGTGGTTTGCTTAGTGCATATGCTTGAGGGATGAATTTTGGGTAGATAGTAATGATCTTATGTAATAGAGCCTCATTTGTTATTTGTCTTTTAAAAAAAAAAAAAGAGCAAGAGCAACATTTCACAGATCCTGTAGTTTGGTTGTAATCACATTTGATGCTATATAGCTATTTTGCAAAAGAACCCCTTTCTAAATTCCCTTCATTATTGGAGGTTGCCTTTTGCAAAAAAAAAAAAGAAAAAAAGAAGAAAAAAAAGAAAAAAAAAGGAGAGTAATTTATTTTTCTATGCATTTTTTTCGCTCTTTGTTCGTTTTTGTAAATTTTCATTTGACCTGAATGAAATCCCAAAAGCCGATTTATGGTAAGAATGGTGGAAGGTTCTAGTAGTTGATTAACCTATATTTTTATCAATGTTCATTTGATTGTTTGTCCTAAATTTTACCTTCCTCACACTAAGCGTTGATTGTTCCATTTCCAGCTCCATGAGAGAAAAGCTTTGCACTCAAATCTTTCTGACACCAGTGAGATCAATGGAGTTGAGACTTCTACTTGGTGAATTTTTCAAAGCTGTATGTGTTATGGTCAGTAGTAAGAAGGTTATGGTTTGGGGCACACACACACGAATTTAGAGTTATGACTGAAATAATCTTGATAGTGTCATTTGACTTATTATTGACAGTTTGTTTGAAATACTCACGTGACTAAGCTAGTTGAGACTCAGATTTTCTTTGTGACATGATTTCTCTTGCGCTTGGATTCCTAGAGACTAGCAATAAGCTGGCTAGGGGTTATAATAAGTGCATAACAGTGCACCCTAAATTCTGCTTTTGATTTATATAATATTAAAATATTTAAGCTTTAATTAAACAATTCCATTATTTTTATTCAGAATATTTTAATTAAAATTTGTCTAGTTTTTCCTTAAATATTTACAGATGAAAAGCAGTGTGAAGAGCTACACAAGAAGTTGTCATTTTCAGCCTATTTAGGCCACTAAGCCGAGCCATACAAGCCATATTAAGAGAGAAAGAAATGAACCAAGCCGATTCAAGCCACCGAGCCAAGCCACCGCACCAGTCAGCACGGAAATCCGCGCCCGCTTCTTCCTGCAATCTCGCGTTGCGCGCGTGGCCAGCACGCAAACATCCCAGGGCGCATGATCTCCAGCGCATTCCAACCCAATTTCACGTGGGTCCCGCACGACAGCAGCAGACCTGCCGCTCTTTTCGAGCGCGCCACTTGTCCAATGCGGGCCCCACACCTGCAACGCCAGCTCCGTCCGCCCACTCCGCATGCGCCAACTTTTCGAGCGGGTCCCAGCTGTCTCTAACCACGAGCACACTTCTTCCACTCCGGGTGCGACACCTGGAAATTTAGTCCACTTCCTCTAACCCAGGTTTGACACGTGTCTTGGGGTGCTGGATCCGAATTTCTCCTTCAAAATCAGAGCAAATTGGCCAGATTTCTTCCCCAAAGCATATATATGATTTCTCCTAATTTATGTGTAAATTTATTTTGTTTCCTTTTCTTTTGTAATTTTCTATTTTTATTATTTCTTTCCTTATTTTACAGGCAACCTCTGAACACTATAAATAGAGGGGTTGGCCTAAGGTTTTTGTAAGCTTTGAATATTCAGTTTTCTGTCGTCTTACTGTCAGTCTCTTATTTTCTCTCTAGAACTTGTGAGAATGTTTTGCAAGCTAGGCTAGAGTTTTCTATGTGAGGTTAGAGATGAACTTTTGTTGAGAGACCCAATTCGGGTTTTTGATTCCTTGTGCTATAAAGTTCAACATCTGAATGAATTAAATCTCATCTATATTTCTTTTACTTTTCAAAATATTGTGTGCCAATTTTTTTATAAGTTCAGTCATGCTTTTCTTATGTAATTCTGTCATGTACTATTTTGTTATTCAAATTATTTTACAAATTTTCTTTAATTGCAATATTGTCAAATTGATATTTTGTCGATCATTAGGGGATCAAGCCACTTGTAGTTTGAATTTTAGGTTTGAAAATTTTAGATAATTCCTCGGTGTATGACCTTTTGAGAAATTGATGCACTTTCAAATTTGATTTAGTTTTGTTTTAATTTTGTCTATTGTGAGGATTTTTAGGATTGAATTTGATCTTGAAACTATACCTAAATTTTAGGTTGCCTACATATCCGATGGGGAATCAAGTCAATCGTAGTTCTTGAATTTAAATTTAGATTTTGGAGAATTCCCCAATATGTGACCATAGGAGGAATTCAAAGATGTTT